CACGCTCATGTAGCAGTAAGTAGGACCCAGATTGTTTGACAATAATCCCTTCAATCCATGACCGTGCGCAATTGGCTGCCGTCTTCTGCCCACAAAATATACATTCAATTCATTTTGCAGTATATTCTATGAAGCGCTTTGAGATGTCTCAGCTGCATTATTATCCTTTGGATGAAACATTAAACCGAGGTCTGACACTAACGGTTTGGGTTGAATGCTATCTCTGTGCCATGTAATCCTGTTGTTTACTTCTGTTCAAAAAGAGAAATGTGTTTCAAACAGTGTCATGGCCATCAATCCCCTTGATAAAATTGGTCATCCACTTCCTTGTCACCAGACTTTGAGAGGAAGTCCAGTCACTGGAGCCAGAGTTTCTTCTTACTCAGCTCATCTGTGAGGTACACAACTTCCCATTCATGTGTGTAGCTCTGCATTAATGAGGTTGTCCTGGATTTGCTCAGCGATGCCTGTGACGTCCGTGAACAAAGATTAATGGCCTCCTTGCATCTCTTGACGTTAACGAAATGCAAATGAACAACCTTGCAAGTGGCAAAACAAATTTTCCAGGCACAAGATCAAGGTTGAACGGTCGTGTTGTAATACTATCTATGGAGAAAATAAATTCCATCTGGCTCCAGACTTACTTGATTGACGTAACAATTGAGAGAGTCCAGAATCTGGCAAATTGTTGCATTCACTTTTGACTTTTAAGTCGTTTTTCTTCAGAGAAACCTGCTAAAAAACGACTTCAAAGTATTTAAGAATTTGCCAAATTCTGGGTGTACTAAATTGGTGCAGAAATAGATTAAATCTAGACACAGGTGCAATTTTAACCCTCGCTTCTCCCCCACCCCTTCCCCACGTTTTACTGGTTTTCACTCTTTGGCAGGGATTTTTCATGTTGCCATTGAAAACCGACTGAACAAGTTGAATATTTCAAAGAGCACAATATCAACAGAGGGCGAAAGACATGCACAAAAACCTTTTTTGCATTTGAATGCAGTGTCTCTTTCACAGTGGGTGGGCTTCTATTAACACTTTGCAGGATTTCTTGTAAACTGAAATACAGTGACTGTGTCATTTTCCTTAGTTTGTCGTTGGGCCGTGGTTTAAGGTTAAAATGCAGATCAAATCGAACGGTACCTTATGTGCACAAGCACAGTTTGTGAATCGCTGCACAAAAGGTTCTTTTGTGAAAAATAAAAACCCCTGCAGAGCAACTTGATGCTGGAATATAGCAAATATAGTCGTGAAAGTTGCTGGCCATTTCTAAAAGGCATTAAAACAAAATGTGAAATACTCGGCTGATTACAGATGGTAATGATAAAGTAATCATCCTTGCCATTTGATCTAATGCCATATCAGATTGGCAGGATCCATGAGTTTTTCTCTCTCCTCCTTGCTTGGTTCCCATCCCCTCTAAGCCAATGCTCCAGTGCAGTGCTGGGATCTGTGCTGCATGCTCAGGGTTACCATTCTTCGAATGAGACATTAAGCCAGTGACTTGTCTGCCTGTTCAGGTGGAAGGCAATGTCCTGTGGCATTATTCGAAAGAGAGAGCCTATCACCCCCATCCTCCCCCGGCTCCACTGGCTCCCCATCACTCAGAGGATACAGTTCAAAATCCTGATCCTCACCTTCAAAGCCTCCACGGCCTCACTCCTCCATACCTCTGCGGCCTCCTAACCCCCTACCAACCTGTTTGCTTCCTCCGCTCAGCGGGCTCTGACCTACTTCACCATTGGTGGGTGGGCCTTCAGTCTCTCTGCTCCCACCCTCTAGAACTCCATCACACAGCCCCTCTGCCTCCACCCCCATCCCTCGCCTCCTTCAAGACCTGTTTCAAGACCCTCTTTGTGCTTTGGTCACCCTCCTGTCCCTATGCTCCACCCCTCCTGATCCCAACCATCAGTTTAGGTGTGGATCCCTGATTGTCCAGCGCCTTGGAACGTCCTCATGATGTAAAGGGCATTGTACAAATGTATGTTGTTGAGTTTCTCCTGGTGTCCTGGCCAACAATCCTCAACATGAGTTAAAGTAAAGCTCTGGAAAATACTGAAGGCAAAGGCCTAACCAGTGCAGATTGTTAACATGACTGGTGATAAATACCTATCTGTGTTTAGCACACGACTAAAGTCAGCCAAGAAAAAAAATGCCTTTTGTGTCGATTTTCAGTCTGGTGTGAAATACAAACATTGTCGGTAAATCAATGCAAACATTGACTGTGTGCACTTTTCTGCTTATCATGTATGAAAAGAATTCTGCTGGTGATGTATTTTGAACACATTTTTGGGGAATATCCTGACTTTTTTAAAAAAAAAGAAAGCTTCTCACTGTGTCCGGGCTAACTATCCCAGCTAAAATTGGTCATTCACATCACGGCTGTCTGTGGGACATTGCTGTGCACAAATTGGCTGCCTCGTTTTGTTACAAATTCACAGTTTGGGACTTTGCTCCAAGTGAAAGGCGCTATTTCAAATGTTTAAATGTTTTTATTTTGCATCTGTTGGCAGTCTCAAAGTACTTCAAGACTTTACTGTAAAGTGCAGTGTGTGTATTTTGTAGATGTACAGTTTGTTGCAATAAATTAGAAAGATTTAATTCTTAGCAAAAGGAGAGGAAGGAGATTTTCTGGCAACACCAGTCCTGACATTAACCTGTTTCTATTTATCTCTTTATGTCTGCATTCCTTACTTGTGCTGTTTATAGTCACAACTCTCCTGTTCTGGTCTTGTGACCTCAGAAAACTGCATTGTGCGTTTTTAAATTCTCCTTCAACAAAATTGATTGCTTTTTTTAAAACAAAAAAACATTGCTGTATCCCTCAACTGGTTGTGTGTTGTGGAGCCTGGATTTTGTTTTCGAACTGCCTGGTACCTTGATGGATTTGGGATGGCTTTGTAACCAGAATAGCAAAGGCAGATAGCTTTGTAGTACTTTCTGGGCTTGTGGATTATACAATATAATACAGTTTATATTCACGCAGTGTCTTTTTCGTCAGGAAACACCTCAACAGGCTTAATTAACACTGGCATCTGGGAACCTGATCCAGGGGTGGGTGGGGACGGTAAAGATGGCTGAAACCGCAGTCAAAGAGTAAGGTTTTGAGATGGACCTTGATGAGGTGGGGCGAGGCGGAGGGACTCCAGGATGGAATTCCAGAGAGTGGAAAACCCACCTGCTGATGGTGGGACAGATAGAGCACGAAGCAGACTCACTGAGTGAAAGGAGTAAATAATCCTTTTTTTTGACATAGTGCCTTTCACATCAGGAGGACGTCTTGAAAAGCCTCACGGGATTTATAAACGGGACCTTGTTTAATATCTCATCTGAAGAGCAGGACCTCAGATAAAACAGTGCATCTCCTCCAACACTATATTGGACTGTCAGCCTAGACGATGTGAATTCAATGTCCCCGCAGTGAGGCTTGAACCCACAACTTCCTGTTTGAAACCAGCATTGCTCGATTTTATAATTTGCGCACAGATGGCTTTGTGGTCAGTTTCATTCACTTTATTTTGCTTACTTCCTTCTCTGCATCTTAGATGTACAGTCAATGATTGACTATCTCTGCGGTTGCAGTTTAAATTGGGTTTAAGCTGCACTGATAAACCTGACTCAATTTCACTGCATTTTACAGGAGGGAATATAAGTGTGTGTGTGTGTATATAAAAAGGAACATTATATTTTCTCCCCTAACACAAATATTATTTATTGTCTCTTTCATTGTTATAATGTGCTTCCTTGCTTATAAGTAGAAAAACTATGATGGATAAGACTGTTATCAGATGTAAAGCTTGGTATATTTACAGGATTTTTTTTCTCATTTATGTGCCATATTAATAATAATTCTTGCATTTGCTTTAGCTCCTCGCACCTTGTCAAAATGTCTCAATATGCTTCACAGGATATATGTCTATTTGTATCGTGACTATATTTGCAGGCGTACATGGCAGATGAGTTTTGGATTTCAATGGCTTGCAATTGGTCAGGAAATGAATGATGCATGAATCACCACCAGGTATTTACCTGGTGGATGATGTTGGCCAGGATATCCCTTCTCTTTTCAAACAGTGGTAGGGGATCTTTAATGTTCTCCTCAACAGGCAAATGGGGCCTCGTTTTAATGTCTCCTCCCAAGGATGACACCTTCATTAATGCAGCCCTCCCCCCAGCACTACACAGTGGGTTCAAAACCCAAAGTGGGGTTTGAACCCAATATTGTATTGTAAGGTTGCCCAAGTGATTCTTGATCAAAGCACCTTCTCCACACTGTTCAGCTAACAAGATGCGGTGCATGCTAATCTAGCATCTGGATATGATTTAGTAGTAATTGTTCCCACCCACTTGTTCTCAAATGAGATTGATGCAATACAGATTGACGGTCAATGGAGAAACTAGATGTTGAAGCTCATTCAATCTGAGGCTTAACAGTCAAGTGCTAATGACCATTCTTCATCAATTGCTGGAAATTTACAGCAATCAAGAGAAAAGGTCAGTCACTCCCTAGGTGTTCAAGCGACTAGCTGTGAATTGTGATACGCTTGACATTTCCCGCCATTTTAAGAGAAGTCAAAGAAATGTGCTCCAGGTTCCTCTAAATGCAAATGCCACTAACCACATGACCTCGCAAATCAAGTAAATAAAGAATGCTTTGTGTTTTTCCCTCCTCCCCATTAGCGTGGACCAAGCTTTCAACTCCTTTGGCCTTGTATTCTGGAACCTACATCTAAAATGCCTCCACCTCACGCATTCCACTTTTTTAAAAAAAAACTTCAACTTTGCTTTTAATCAGCTTTTATTTATTCTTCTTCCATCATCTTCTTTGCTGTCCCCTCCCCTTCCATCTCCCCCCCGATTCCCCCTTTGTTTCCCACTGTGCTCAGGCTCCCATTCTGTCTTTGCAAAACAATTTGGGACATTCTCGCTCTGTATAAGTGCACATTATTGTTATAATTTTATTGCCCTTTAATTTTCTATCCTTCATTTTTCTCTTCCAGATGATGGGTTCCATCTTGCACCTTTGCTCTTTAGCCATTTCCATCTTGAATCCAGTTATGGGGGAATTATTGAGAGAGAAAGGTGAGTTTGTCTGGGTGGGACTGGAGGACTGGTGGGGTGGCTGTAGGGGGAAAAGCGCTTAGCACCAACATTCACCGTTGAAGTGGACTTCACCCATCGCTACATTGGCATTGCACCATTGACAGCAATGTTGTGGAGTTAAGGGGAAGTGTGTAAATTGTGTTGTACCTTCCAGCGGCAGTTAATGAAAAGCTCTGACAAACGAGAGTAGAACTTTTGTGAAGCACATTTTCACAGACTGCCTTTGAAGCTAGTCTAGGTTCAATGTAAATTGTTCAATATTAACAGTAAATTGATCTGGTTAAATTATTTACAACAATATAACAACAAGTTACATTTATATAGCGCCCTTATGAAGGCTTAGGTACCAACTCAGAAATAGCATCTGTTCCAAGTTTCCTATTACATCAACTTGTGTTTTGCTGGGGGGGGGGGGGAGTGTTTATGCTTGCAGGTTTAAGTAATTTTTTTCCAAGATCGGGTATGCCTGACCCGTCCTTGCATTGCATCTACTGAGTTTCCATATATGGTTACAATGCCTCACTTTGCTAATTGGATTTCATGGTTCTGTGCCATGGGAAAGTTACTAAATAAACTGGGCTGGTTGGAGTACTTGTATCATGACTGTAACCACTTTTACTGTGTCCTATTCCAGGTATTCTGTATGGCCAAATAGGGACTGATGTCACCTTGTTCTGCAGGGCTGATAACCACAGGTAATGTGACATGACGGAGACGAATGGTTTTGTGTGCTTGTGTAATATCTCAATCCTTTCCGGTGTGCATGCTTTGCCTTCTGGTCTCAGATATACGTGTGTTGGGGGGTGGAGAGAGAAAGATCTTCAACAAATTAGTGGCTATCCTCTCTTTTGGCAGAGTGGGGGAGAGGCAAGCAGACTTGATTTTGCATTGAGTTGTCCAAGTCTGGGATAAAAATTAAAAATAATAATAATTTGGACATTCAATCCACAACTGTTTGCTGTGCACGATTGGCTGCCGCGTTTCACCCACAAAATATACAGCCAATTCACTTTACAGTATCAACAAAGCTCAAAATACTACAGATACTGGGATGATGGGTTAAAGAGGTGTTAGTGATGCAAAACAAAGGGAGGGATTGCAACAAAATGGGAATAGAGGCGTTAGTACTGCAAAACAAAGGGGATGAAAATTGCAACAAAACAGGGAGAGAAAAGGTGTGTCTGGGACCCAGTTGATGTGGTAATGGTCACAAAAGAGCAGGAGGGGGAAGGTGAGCTGTTATAATAATAATCCTTGCATTTGATATAGCACTTTTCACATCTTCTAGACGTCTGGAACTCTATCCCCCAGTGCCTTCGCCTTGCCTCCTCCCTGTCCTCCTTCAAGGTCGGTCTCAAGACCTTTCTCTTTGATCGTGCCTTCAGCTCCCCTCTCAACTCTCTACCCCCTCCTCGCTCCCTCCCTTCCCTCCCCCTGACCATTTCCCACCTGCTCGGGTCCTGACCCAACTGTCCAGCGCTTTAGGACGTCCTCCCAACATGAAAGGCGCTCTATAAATGGAATCTTGTTGTTGTTGTTGTCTCAAAGCGCTTCACAGAATAGACTGTAAAATAAATTAACGTATATTTGTGGGCGAAATGCAGCAGCCAATTGTGCACAGCAGTGTCCCACAAACATCGTGGCTTGAAATGACCAATTTTTTTGAGGGATTATTATCAGGCATGTAGAGTAAGGAAACTTGGCCAAGGTTTCACCCTGTTGGGAATTGAACCCAGGTTGTTTGCTTGCAAAGCAAGTTATGGTCTGAAATTGTTGAAACTTTGAGGCTAGTGGGCTGTAAGGTCCCTAGTAGATAAATCAGGTGCTGTTCCGAGCTTGCGCTTTGGCTCATTGGAACAGTGTAGGAGACCATGGATTTAGAGGTCAGAGTGGGAGGGAGAGTTAAGTGGCAAGTGGCAAGAAACCGGAAGCTCAAGGTTGTTCTTGCGGGCAGAATGGAGGTGTTCGGCAAATCGATCACCCAATCTGCAATTCATCTAAAGGAGACTACATCGTGAGCAACGAATGCAGTAACTACGTTGGTGGTAGTACATGTAAATCGCTGTCTCACTTGAAAACTGTATTTGGAGCCCTGGACAGTGGAGTGGGAGGAGGTGAAAGGGCAGGTATTGCATCTCCTGCGCTGCGTGGGAAGGTGCCGGAGAGAGGAGAGCAACTGTTGGTGGCGATGGAGGAATGAACCAGGGAATGACGGACGGAACGGTCCCTTCGGAATGCTGAGAGGGGAGGGGAAGGTACGTTTAGTGGTTGGATCATGCTGGAAGTGCCAGAAATGGTGGAGAATTATTGGTTGGATGTTAAGGCTGGTGGGGTGGAAGGTGAGGCCTAGGGGGACCCTATCATGGTTCTGGGAAGGGGTGAGGGCAGAGGTGCGGGAAATAAGGTGGACTCTCTCCTCCAAAAGCGTGGATGCCTTCAAGAAAGAGATTGACAGATTTTTGATAGGTTGGGGTATTAAGGGATATGGGGAGAAAGCGGGAAATTGGATTTGAAATTCTAGTAAAGATATAGATCAGCCATGATCTAATTAAATGGTGGAACATGCTCGACGGGCTGAATGGCTTACTCCTGTTCCTATGTTTCTGTGACATAGTCAAGGGCCATGCCTACAACAGTGGATGGGAATCCTCGGTCGAGGAAAAAGGAAGACATTTCAGCTGCTCTGGTGTGAAAGGTAGTATCATCAGAGCAGATGTGGTGGAGGTGGAGGAACTGGGAAAAGAGAATGGACTCCATTCTGACCTCTCCACCCATGGTCTTCTACGATGTTCCAGTGAGCCACAGCACAAGCTCGAGGAACAGCACCTCATCTATCTGCTAGGGACCTTACAGCCCTCTGGCCTCAATATTGATTTCAACAATTTCAGACCATAACAGCTCACCCTCCCCCCTCTTCTGTGACCATTACCACATCATCTGGATCCCAGACACACCTTTTCACTCTCTGGTCTGCCTATTTTGTTGCAATTTCCCCCTCACCCCCTTTGTTTTGCATTATTAACACCTCTATTGCCCTATTTTGTTGCAATCCCCCCTTTGTTTTACATCATTAATGACTCTTTAACCCATCATCCCCTGTCCTCTACCCCATTTTCTCCTTTGTCTTCCTTGCTCTGTTTCCCCCCTCTCTGTTAGCCCTTAAAAGTCTCTCTCCCAACATGCCTCAGTTCTGACGAAGTGAACCCGAATCGTTGACTCGCTTTCCTTTCTCCATTGACGCTGTTTGACTTGCTGAGTGTTCCCAGTGACTTCTGTTTTCGTTTCACTTTACAGTATAATGTGTGAAGCGCTTCGAAATGTCTCAACAATGTGATAAGGCACTATATCAACTGCATTTATTATTATAAACTAATGAACTATCCATCCTACTTATCAGTGGGTGAGCTTTCAGCCAATCTGCCAGCCCTTCACCTTCACTGTTATAGCTTGTTAAGACCCACCTTTTCAACCATGTTTTTGGTCATCTTTACCCCACCCTCCTCAGTTTCCCCCACACCCAACTTGGGCTCCCAGTCAATTGCATGAAGGACTTTGAGACATTCTCTGTGAAAGGCGCCAACATAAATATGCATTGTTATTGTGAATGGAGGTCATGAAAATCTGCCTCGTGGATAACATTGTTAACTGGAGGTTTCTCAGCATGTTTCTCTTAGTGCAACAGAACTAAATGAAGCTTTAAAAGCACAGTTTGGTGGGGGGTTGCATATTGGTCTTGTTATAAACAGGATAGGGCTCTTGAGTGCCTTGAGAGAGAGACAAAAATGTTTGATTTGCAAAGAATCGTCCTTTGTTTAGGAGTGGTAAAAGGTTTCTGAAATGTTTCTGAAAGTTTGTCTTGGTCCCAGTCCAGCAGATGTGGTCTCTTGAATTTGTTCAAAGATGGGTTGAGATACAGAATCAAAGTTGAGTGGAGGAAAGGAGCACGTGCAGGGAAGAAAGCAAAGAATTCTCTTTCAAAGAATTCTCTACCCCACCCCACCTCCATGAGGCTGTTCAAAAAAGAGTGGGGGTTACTCTTTTTACTCTTGGCTCTTACCAAAGTAGAGAGACCTTTGTGACTGGAAAGCGAGGAAATTGTGTAATAACACAAGTACGGATAGTGACTGAGACAATTGGAACGTTTGTAGAAATATTAATCACATTCAGGAAATTAATCTAAAATAAATTAACAGCTTCTACCATTTAGGGCTTTGGCTTCCAGGCTTAATGAGAGCTGAGTAGCAAGAACTACTACTTTCAGTATTTGTCTAAAGTAAAAAGAAAGCATTTTGATAGTTTCTCTGTAAATGAGCAGATGTGAGATACCATGGAAGGCTATCAGTGCTTCTTAGAATTTAGTTCTCAGAAAAGTTGCTTTTCTGAGGTGATGGTATAGCACCTTGCATATCAGGAGGATATCCCGAAATGCTTCACAGGATTTACTGTAAAGGGAGTGACTGTTTTGTGGGTGAACTTTGCAGCCAATTTTACACACAGCAATGTCCCAAAAATAGCCATAGAGTGAGTGACTCATTTTATTTGGGGGATTCAAGATCGAATTCAACATCCTCATCCTCGCCTACAAGGCCATTCACAGCCTTGCTCTCTCCTACCTCTCCAACCTACTATCCCCCTACCTACCTGCCCGTACCCTCCATTCCTCTGGCTCCGGTCTGCTCCACATCCTCCGCGCCAACTGCGCCATCGGTGGCCGGGCCTTCAGCCTCTCAGCCCCCAGGCTCTGGAACTCTATCCCCCAGTGGCTTCGCCTTGCTTCCTCCCTTTCCTCCTTCAAGGCCGGTCTCAAGACCTTTCTCTTTGACCGTGCCTTCAGCTCCCCTCTCAACTCTCTACCCCCTCCTCGCCCCTCCCTTCCCTCCCCTCACCCTGACCATTTCCCCCCTCCTCGCTCCCTCCCTTCCCTCCTCTCACCCTGACCATTTCCCCCCTGCTCGGGTCCTGACCCAACTGTCCAGCGCTTTGGGACATCCTCCCGACGTGAAAGGCGCTCTATAAATGGAATCTTGTTGTTGTTGTGTTGATTGTTGGCCACAACACTGGGAAGAAACTCCCTTCTCTCTGCGATTAGTGCCAAAGGGTCTTTGATTCCACCTGAACAGGCAGACGAGTCCTCGGTTTAACATCTCAACTGTCCACTCCCTCCGTTCAGCGGGCTCTGGTCTGCTCCATGTCACCCGCCCTACGATCGGTGGCCGGCCTTTCAGCCTCTCTGCCCCCACACTCTGGAACTCCCACAGTCCCTTTGCCTCACTTCTTCCCTTGCTTCCTTCAAAGCCAGTCTCAAGACCATTCTCTTCGATCATGCCTTTGGTCTCCCACTCTCTGCCTTCCCTCACACGTACACCACCCCTCCGCCATACTCGGGCCCCGACACCTGACTGTTCAGTGCTTTGGGATGTTGTCCCGACATGAAAGGTGCTCTATAAATGTAATGTTGTTGTTGGGGCTTGAACTCACAAATTTCTGACTCTGAGAAGAGAGTGCTACCAACTGAGCTAAGCTGACACACATGGAGAATCTTTCTCTCCTTCCCCCTTCCCGACCCTTCTCCAAGATGCAACTGACTTTTTCTACATTAGGTTGAAGAGATTTTTGCAGCTGACGAACAAGTCAGGAAATGTCTCAAGAGGCAGGAGAATATTTGTTGGTTGATTGCAAGCAAGCTTTCTGGCTTCATGTGAATGCTTTGATACTCAGTGAAGTTTGAAAGTGATTGTTTTTCTGTATTAGTTGTTGAGGTGTCAGCCTGGCTCAGTTGATGGGGGCTCTCTTTGACCTCTGGGTCAACAGGTTCAATAATAAAATTAATCCTTGCATTTGATACAGCGCCTTATCACATTGTTGAGATATCTCAAAGCGCTTCACAGAATATTCTATGAAACAAATTGACAGTATTTTGTGGGTGAAATGTGGCAGCCAATTGTGCACAGCAGTGTGCCACAAACAATCGTGGATTGAGTGACCAAATAATTTATTTATTTGAAGGGATTGTTACTCCCGGAAAGTGATCCAACGATCGACTAACAACCGGATCCTGCTTATTGCCAGGTAAACAGAGGCATGTGGAGTAAGGAAACTTTCTTAAGGGTTCACCCTGCCCGGGATTCAAACCCGGGTCCTCTCACTTGCAAGGCAAGTGCTCTTACCCAATAATTTACAGGACACCACAGGCCTCTCGTCAGCACTTAGAACTCATACAGTGTAGGCTGACCCTCCAGTCCAGTGCTGCTGGGGGTGTGCATTGTATTGTTGGAGGTGCCGTCCTTCAGATGAAACCCAGGTTCTGTCTGTGCCGGTTCAGGTGGTCGTTAAAGATCCCTTGCCACTGTTTGAAAAGAGGAAGGGAGTTTCTCCTGGTTTCCTGGCCAACAATCCCCCAAATAAAATTGGTTATTTACTTCATGGCTGGTTGTAGGACATTGACATGTGTAAATTGACTGTCGCATTCGCAAAATGGACAGTCACTACACTTGACAGCATTTCCTGTTGACCTGCAAACCTTAGAGGAGAATTTCCCTCTCCCTTCTCTCCAACTCTTAAAAGAGTGAATTATTATGAGATTTCACTGCATGCTCAAAAGAACATTCATTATGCACGTTGTACCAACAGGTTTATTCAGTGGAGGGTTAATGGGACCCGTGTGGCCTTATCTAACAACACAAAGGTGCAGAATGGAAACCTCAAGTTTTTGTTGACAGAGCTGGCTTCAGGAGGAAATTACAGTTGCCATGACGAGACCGGGGAACTTTTGCACTGGACTCGACTGGAACTTGGACGTAAGTCAAGTCTTTAATCCTGCAGAGGCGCCTGCTGTCTCCAATAACACTGGTGTGAGAGCAGTGCTAGAGTTGTGTTAGAATTGGTTCTAGAGATGTTTTGCTGCCTTGAGCTGTTCTTTAATACAGATAACGTTGTTTTGTTTTAACGGGCTGTATCTCTGAGGGAAATATCAAAAGGTCAGCGAAGATTCCCTGTAGCCAATGCCGCTGTATTCCTCTTGCTCTTTCAGTTGAACATCGTGTTGCATTTTGCAGATGGGTTTCTGCCCTGTAGTTACTGGAAGGATTTAGAATGAAGTAGTTAGAGTGCAGCCCTGTTATAATATAATGTGCTTTTGTTTTTTGGTTAGTCTAATACATGAGAAAACTCAGTGCCATGCTTAAGAGTATCCAAACCAAACAACAGTCCATGCATCCCACCTACACATGGAACTTCTTGAGATATTTATTGGAATGGAATGCACTCCCTCTCCCTGGAGGGACACATCTTGCTCACCTAATTCCGGAAAGTATTAGGCGCAGGTTGGCAAGAATCAAGGCTTGGGGACCCCAGAGTGTGTGTTGGGGGCACTACTAACCAGCTAAAACCGCGTAGTTTGCCATTGAGAGCACTGTTAGGCAAGCTTTGCCATTGCTTGTCCAGCAAGGGCAACCCTAGGGCTTTGGCTTGTAGGGTAAATGGGAGCTGAGTGTGAAGAGTCCTTGCTCCTAGTGACTGGGCTTCCCTTTCAAGTCCTGCCGAAAAGCCAGGCAGAGTGTATCATCATAAACAGTGCCCTGGAGTGCGGACCCGCCTGGCTCAGGAACCGAGACCGCATTTTTAACCCCCAATCTATGAGACTTTACTCCTGGGATTGAACTTGCATTCTTGAGTTTCACCACAATCTATTGCTTTGGATTTGTAGAATATGGTTGTATTTGAGCTATTTTCCCCATATTATTGCCAACAATCTGAGCTGTAATTATTTATTTCGTGAACAGATGCTCCGAGTAAACCACGGGTGCACTGCAGGGCATTTAATGTGTTTAGAATCTCCTGCGAATGGGAAAATCACCAAGACACAACCTTCCCTACTCGTTACATTGCAAGCTACAGGTATAGTATGGTGTCTTCAAAACACACTCACAGTGTGAATGTGCAGTGTTTGAATCCTAAGTGCTGTATACACTTATGGGCATGAAATGTATATGTGTACACACGTGCGTATATTTGTTTTACATGTATTGCAAAATCTCAGGCCATAGTTTGTGTGGAATATGATGTCTGCTGCACTTGACAGTGCATTAAGAACACTATCTGTCGATCACCTTACCCATTAAGGGCTTTGGCTTGCAGGATTAGCAGTTGCTGAGCGGGAAGAATCCTAACTGTCAGTCTGTTTCTCCCATGTCCTGTTGAGCCAGATCAGTTGGTTTGTTGTCAGCAGTGCTCTGGAGTACCTCTCCTCTCAGGAGCCAGAATCCCAAGACCGCAATAGAGGGGTTGACTTGATTCTGATATGCTGTTGCCAAGCATGTCATCTTGAAGCTAGCTCAGCTACAAGGTGACCCTGCTTGCCTTCTCCCACCGGAGGACAGCACTAGTTGGTCATAATTGCTCTACACGATGTTCCTATAGTATTAAGATATAGTAACCGTTTCCCTGTACACCACGGTCAAGCGCTCTGGGTCGCTACCCTACATGAGGGGCGCTATATAAATGCAAGTTGTTGTTGTTGAAGTGCTTTGCGATGTCCTCCATGATTATATTATTAACCTATATGCAAGTAAGCTCATCTGTGGCTGGTCTTTACGGTTCTGATGTGCGTCAAGCAATGCTGCTCCACAGCTGTGTGTTTTGGAGAGTTTAAACCTTTGCATCTGACTAATGCACTATATCTGGCAATTCACATGACTGTAACACAATCCAGAGCCTCATTTGCCATCACAGACTTCCACAGTTGAACTAGTTTGTTGTACAGTGTATAAGAGTTTTTTTGGTTCAATGCAGCCTAACAGTCTTTGACCAAGTTTGGAAAAAAGAGAAAGATTCTTTGCAGACTGATGTCTCAGGTACTAAGGATGGATATAGGTTAATAATATAATCATGGAGGACATCGCAAAGCACTTTAACAACAACAACTTGCCTTTATATAGTGCTCCTCATGCAGGATAGCGTCCCAGAGCGCTTGATAGTGGTGGAGCACAGCGCTGAGCCGGGAGGAGGTGACCGTAGGCATAGTCGAAGAGGAAGGTCTTCAGGCGCAACTTGAAAGTGGGGAAGAAGGGTGCAAGGCGGAAGGATAGAGGAAGTGTATTTCAGAGTTTCGGGGTGTAGTGGCTTGTAAGACCGGTCACTGATTGAGGAATGGAGGGCACGAGGAACAGGCAGGAGGCCGAATCCAATCATATGCTGGATATGCTGCTTCATAGCTGCTGTAAAGTGTGGTGACTGTGTATTTTGTAGGCAATTGGAGTAACAAACCAAATTGACTCAAGTGATTCAAGATGCTATCCCGTATGAAGGGTGCTATATAGTTGTTGTTCTAAATGGAAAGAAGCAGGTGGTGGTCTTCAGGGAAACTGGGTTGAAATGGGGGTGATATCGTATGGGGAAGGACACCATGGACTAAGAGCTTAAAGTCTAGGTTGACACTCCAGTGAAGTGCTGGGAGGTTGGCATAGGAGGCTGCATTGCTGGAGGTACCGTCCTTCGAATGAGATGCTGAAACTGAGAGCCCCCTATCGACCTATAATTTGTTGTGGTTCAGTTTGTTTTGTACTGTAGCCTCTTGGGCAGGTAGGTGTTCTATCCTGAGAATGGCTGAAATGGTGAACTTCATTCTAGTATAACACTGGCCAACTCCTTCCCTCTGGTCTCATGTTGTCCAGGGTTTCCGCTGTACAGCTCGCCGACCTGTAAGATCTCCAGTCACAATTTTCTCTCCTGTTTTCCTCACAAATGCTTTTTTTTCGACCCAAACAACGGGCTTTTCACCTGTTCTGCGAGCCTGTCACCTTTCATTTCCACTTGCCCCGCTTCCCCCCTCCCCACCATACACACACACACACCTGATCAAATTCAACATCCTAAACCTCGCATTCAAATCCCTCCAGCGTCTCTTCCCCCATCCTCTCTGTGCAATCTCTTGCAACTACTGACCCGGCCTCTCTCTGGATGCTTCATACCCCGGCCCAATCCGCCCCACCATCAGTAATCGACCTCTCAGCTCTTCTGCCCCAGCTCTTGGGAAATGAAGCCAGAGTCCCTTCATCTCCTTCCCCATTTTTAGAGCCCGCCTTATGACTTGCCTGTTTAATTCAGCTTTCATTCATCTTTCCCTGCCACCCCATCCCCCACAACTTAGATGCTAGCCATGTAAAATGCTTTAAGATGTCCCCTCACCATGGGTATAATTGTATTTTTTGTAATTTGCGTGATTTGGGCTTTGACCCTTGGGAGGAGGAAACTCATCCAAAATGTGACTCAGAATCACAACAGGTGTATATTTCATCAAATAAGTGAAACCGAGTGAATCACTGGCCGATTATTTTATTTGTACGAACCAGACATTATTCCCTCTCATAATCATATCAACCTTTGAATGGAGTTAATATCTACTGACTCATTTCCTTTGTGATTACTCCCCAGGATTATCTGTGTCTAATTAAGATTGGAGGTTTCTATGCCTTATTTATGTGCTGCTGGAAGCAATTGTAACACTCAATTGGGAATGCAAAACCAGTATTTTAAGATTTCCCTAAATCGTATTGGCAATTAGGTGCTCATCTCCACTATCCGGTACTGGACTAGCTCTGGTTTACAATGGTTCATTAAGAACATTAAAAATAGTCTGTTCAAACATCTTGGGTCAAAGATGTTTAATTCACCGTTTATTAATTAAGACTAAATCCATTTGTACCACCAATACTGCAGTGTTGTGAATACTATAGCGAGCCCAATATCCACCCTATTGTGGATGTGAAAACAGTGCATGTATCTTGTGAGTGTGGGTTTCCCCCCACTCTCTTTTTTTTTCTCTCACTCACTCTCTCTCTCATTGATCAGATCTCTCGCTTGGATGATCCAGTAAAATTACAAACTTGGTTGCATCGCACACAATAATAATCGTTGCATTCGATATAGCACCTTTCATGTCAGGTGGATGTCTCATAAAGCACTTCAAAGGATTTGCTTTGAATTCTGGTTTGAATTCTAGTGACTGTAATTAGTATGTAGTAAGATGACCTGCATGTTAGCTTGGTTCAGTGTGTAGGTTTAAAGCAAAGTTTCCAAAAGGGTGAAGCTTTGCAAATCTGAAAACTTGGGATAACAGAGAAGTGATCCTAAATAATCGAATTCCTTTGATTTTGAATTCCTAGTTAAGAAAAGTTCACTGCAACAATTTGCATTTGAACAGCATCCTTTACCCGGATAAGAGTCTTGCAGTGCTTAACAGTGGCAGAACCTAACACTGAGCCGGGGAGAGAAGGGATGTGACTGTAGGCACGGTCAAACAAGAAGCTCTTCAGATATAATCTGAAGATTTGCAAGGAGGAAGCATTGAGGCAGAGAGTTTCAGAGTTTCAGGGCCATAGTGTCTCAAAGCACAGCCGCTGATGGTGGAGGGGATGAGGGATGTACAGAAAGGCCAGAGCCAGCTGAGCCAAGGGGTGGATAGTGGAGTAGGGGAGAGGTACCGGAGCAAGTTGGAGAGAAGGAGGTGCGAGGGCGTGATTTTTTTGTAATGCATAACTATCTTTGTTTCTGCTTTCCTGTTGAGAGTGTTTGGGTTGTTTCCTGTTAATTCTGGATATTTACTTTGGCTTTTCTTTTTTTCCACACTTTTTTTCTTTTGTTTCGTGTATTGCTGCTCTGCTTCGATAAAGTTTCTGACTGCCTGTGGTCTATGCACCCCAATCAGTGAGGTAAAGCCTTCAAGCTGGTGGTGTGTGACAACACAATACAGTTCCACGTACTGATTTATTATGAAATCTGTATTGGTGCTCATTCTATAAACTGGGATGACTTCCATAGCCTCAGTATTAAGGGCATGACTCACCATGTAGACTGCATTCGATGACTGTATAAAAATTGCATTTTGTGGTTTGGTATGTTTTATTTAGAACGTAAACTTAGAATAACCTTGACGTGATGACTGGATCTCCGTTACACAAAAATAACATTTACCATTAACCAGCCCCTTCCTTTTAGTAAATAACCTGCTTTGACTTGCTTTGCTCTGGAATACTAACCATCGCACAGTTTCTTCCCCTCCCTCCACTTGTCATATAAAAGCCTGTTTGACTCTTCAGGTAAGATCCAGTGGTACTAGTTGAAAAGCGAAGGGCTTTTCTCTCCTACTATCCTGGCCAATAATCCTCCCCTTCACTCCCAGATGAAATTGGTCATTCACTTCATCACTTCATGGCTGTTTGTGGGACATTGCTCTGTGCAAATTTGCTGCTGTCTTTGCATACAAATAGTCACTGCACTTTACAATACAGTACAATCCTGCAAAATGCTTTGAGACGTTTAAACAACGTGACAAGGCATTATACCCAAGGCAAGGATTATTATTATCAATATTATAAATGTTTGGCAAGTTTCCTTACTGCACACACCTCTATTAACCTAGAGGTAAGTAGGAACCCGGTTGTTAGTCAATTGACGGATCACTTTTCCAGGGATAAAATCCCTCAAAAAAAACAATAATTTGGTCACTCAATCCACGACTGTTTGTGTGAAGCTGCTGTGCGCAATTGGCCGCTGCGTTTCGCCCACAAATATACAGCCAATTCACTTTACAGTATATTCTATGAAGCGCTTTGACGTGAAAACCGCTAAATAAAAGTATTATTATAATTTGCAAAGTGCTCCTTAGCTCACTAGTGAAACAGGTACTATTTAGTCCAATCTTCTGGTCTCTTTCTTCTTTTAATCACACCACTTGCCACTCAACAAATTCAACATCACCTCCTCACTTTTATATTGTATCCATCTGGATACAAAGTCTAAAAACCCATTGGTCTTGGATCTGAATCCCTGGATATCTTTGATCTTAAGTTCCTTGTTGTTGGTTGTGGTGGGGATGGTGGTTGTGGTTAGAGATGATGAATTTGAAGCTCTTATAATTACACAATACAATTTACATTCATAAAATACTTTTCTCATCAGGAAGACATCTTAAAGTAATGGTTAGAGCACTTGCCTCACAAGAAAGAGGACATGGGTTTGATTGCCGGTTGGGAGTGGCAAGTTTTAGGCAAGTTTCCTTACTTCACAGGCCACTGTTTACCTAGCAATAAGTAGGAACCCGGTTGTTAGTCGATTAGTGGAATGCCTTCTGGGAATAATAATCCCTTTTTTTAAAAAAATAAAAAATTTGATGACTTTCAATCCATGACTGCTGTGTGCAATTGGCTGCCGGGTTTTGCCCGCAAAATATACAGTCAATTCACTTTACAGTATTCTGAAATGCTTTGAAACGTCTCGACAACGAGATAAGGTACTACGTCAAATTCAAGGATTATTATCACTAAATGCTTTACACAGCTGGCTCGGCACTTGAGCCAGTGTGGGAAGCAGGTAGGTAGGGGAAATATGAGTGAACATGCAGTCAAAAAGGTATGATTTGAAGCGAGCTTTACATGTCGGGAGGGAGTGGGCTCTGGATGTCGGAAGGATTCTGGATGTAATTCCAGAGAGTGGGCAGAGAACAGCTGAAAGCGTGCTGTGCAGATTTTTGATTGCAACCTCTGGGAATAATTTATTTTAAAGTTTCTTTTTGTTTTTGTTTTTCTCCTTTCTTGGTTTCAGGGATCCACAAAACCAAATCCAGAACTGTTCTGCAGACCCGCTGTATAAAAACATTTGCCACATTGACAACCCTCAGATTTTTACTTCCCTGCCTTACGTTGTAAACGTGACAGCAGTAAATACTCTCGGGTCGAGGGCTACGCTGTCAGAATTTCTGGCAATGGACATTGGTAAGTAGCTTTGAGCGTGTATAGGAAACATTGATCTATTTATAAGACCAGCTTGGCAGAAACGCCAATTGCTTGTTCAACTTCAAATGCTTTTCACCTTGTGACAGTCTGGCACAGTTGGTAGCTCTCTCTCCTCTGAGTCAGAAGGTTGTGGGTTCAGGGATTAACTCAGTGGTTAGAACATTCACCTTGCAAGTGAGAGGACATGGATTTGATTCCTGGGCAGGGCAAAATGTTGGGCAAGTTCCTTACTGCACATGCCTCTGTTTACCTAACAGTAAATAGGAGCTGGTTGTCAGTTGATTGGCAGATCGCTTTTCGGGGTGTAATAATTCCTCAAAAATAAATTTTAAAAATAAATGATTTGGTCACTCAATCCATGACTGTTTGTGGGACTCCGCTTTGAGCAATTGGCTGCCGTGTTTCACCCACAAAATATACAGTTAATTCACTTTACAGTATATTCTGTGAAGCGCTTTGAGACATCTTGAAGACGTAATATGTCTCTATATCAAATGCAAGGTTTATTATTTATTATTATTGTTAGAGGTGTCATCCTTCAGATAAGAAGTTAAACTCAGGTCCCGTCTGCCTGTTCAGGTGGATGTTAAAGATCCCATGGCATTATTCTAAAAGAGAAGGGAGTTCCTTCTGGTGTCCTGGCCAACAATCCCCTGGATAAGATGGGACATTGCTCTGCGCAAATTGGCTACTGTGTTGATCTGCAAAATACACAACTGCAGTATTTTTCTTCTTTTCTATCCCTTCCTGCACTGACCTGTCCTGATTACATTCAGAATGAAAGCAAAAGCTTGTAATCATGCAACGCCTTTCACATAAAACGACAACAACTTGCACTTGCACTCTCTATGCAGGGTAGCGTCTCAGAGTGCTTAGCAATGGTGAAGTCTGACTCTGAGCCAGGGGTGAGGGGGGTGGGAGGTGACTGTAAACACGGTCGAAAACAAAGATTTTTCGGGTGGGACTTGAAAAAACAGAGAGAGGGGGCAAGGTGGAGGGATTCAGGGAGCGTGTTCCAGAGTTTTGGGGTGTAGTGGTTGTGATGGAGCGGAGGGTGCAAGGGACAAGCAGGGCTGGTGCCAGTCAAGCAGAGGTGGTGGATTGGGGAGTGAGGAGGTTGGAGAGGTAGGAAGGTGCCAGGGAGTTAAGAGATTTGAAAACAAACAACTACTTGCATTTATTTAGTGCCCTTCCCACAGCACAGCTGCTTGGAGTGCACATGGAACATTTTGAAGAGCTTGACAAGGTGCAGGGTAACAAGCGGGCAAATAAGAGACGTTGACCAAATGCTCAGTTGAATAGTGTATTTCTGAAGGTGAGGAGAGAATGTTGCGAGGCAGGGTTCCAGAGGACAGAGGCATGGAGCTAAAGGTTTGGATGCCAATGAGTTTGAGGAATAAGCAATTGACCAAGTGATTCCCTCCTCATCTGTTAGCAGATTGATCAGCTCTAGAAGAAGGGGATCTTAGAGATGTTTTTCACTGGAGGAATTTCAGCCAGTTTGTCCTTGTGTTTTGTGTTTATTTCAAATATGCCCTTGACTCACATATGTTATTACTCAGAATCCCAGACCTCGTTTTTTTTTGGGTCTTGGATAATAATCTATAACATATGTTTTGATACTTTTCCAATTTCTGTGCTCTGTTCGATCACCAGATTTTTTTGGGCCAGCCGGGTGTATGTATGACACATGTGGGAACCCATCACCATATTTAAGCATTGCCTATTACTCTCCAGAATTAATAATAATAATTCTTGCATTTAATATAATGCCTTATCATGTCTTTGAAATGTCTCAAAGCGCTTCACAGAATATGCTGTAAAGTGAATTAACTATATTTTGTGGGCAAAAGTTGGCAGCCAATTGCACACAGCAGTGTCCCATAAACCGTCGTGGATTGAAGTGACCAAATAATTATTTTTTTAAAGGAATTATTACCCCCCGGAAAAGCGATCCATCAATTGACTAACAACTGGGTTCCTATTTAGTAAGCAGATGCGTCTCTCCAGGGAGGGAGTGTTCATTCCATTCAAAAAATACATCTCTGGAACTTCTATACATCAGTGGACATCATCCAAACCAAACAGAATTCTGTGCATCCCATACAAATTCCAGAGATTTGTATTGGCATGGAACACATACTCTTTCCCTGGAGGGGTGCATCCTGCTTACTTTACTCCAGAGAATAATCGGTGCAAATTGGCAAGAGCCAAGACTTGGGGACCCCAAAGTGTGCATTGGGGTACTACTGGAATCTAACCAGTTAACCCGCACAACTGGCCATCAATAGCACTGTCTGGATCCCGTCCCTTTATCAGCCCCTTTGCTCAGCTTGTTCGGGCCTTCTGTACTTCCTCAATCCTTCCTCTTCTCTCCTATGGCTCAAACCTCTGGAACTCCCTGCCTCAATCGCTCTGTCTTGTCCATTCTTTGCTCGTCTCAGATCGCACCTGAAGACTTTCCTCTTTGATCGTGCTTACGGCCACCTCCCCTTTCTCCAGGCTCTGTGACAAACTATGTCATTGTTAAGCGTTCCAAGATGCTACCCACGTGAAGGGTGTTATATAACTGGAAGTTGTTGTGTTGAATATGGTATTGTTAGCATGCGGTCTGTTTTCGGCAGGGAGTGGGGTTGGTTGGGTTGAGGTCTTGTAGGTCTGTCTCGACAGACAAGATGCAAAGAAATATTTCACTCTTCCCCGTTTTCTTGTTTTTAATTTCAGTTCAGCCCAACACACCTAAGAATGTGAGAGTCAAGCCTGTCTTTGGATCTCCCAGAAGAATCAAAGTGCGCTGGGATTATCCGTCTTTGTGGGACACGCGTTTTGAATTAAAATTTGTCTTGGAATATAGACCGACAATTATCTCGTTCTGGTCACGGGTGAGTTTGATGATTGGGATTTCCGTTTCGGCTGGTGTTGGTTTCCCAGTAATCCTTGCGTTTGTGTTATGGGGAAGTCTTGAAATGCTTCATGGGATTTGCTGTGAAGTATAGTGACTGTGTTTACTGAAGCAAGTTTTAGTGACTGACTGAAGGCTGACAAATCTCTAAAGTTCTGAAATTCTGCCCAATCTTAGCCTGTGAATCCAAGGTATCAGTTTGGCTCAGTTGGTAGCACTCTCGCCTGTGAAAAGGTTGTGGGTTGAAACCCCACGTTGGGACTTTGAACTCACAGTCGTGACTAACACTCCAATGCTGTGTTGGAATATGCTGCATTCTCAGAGGTGCTGACTTTCGCATGAGACATTAAAACAAGGTCCTGTCTGTACCTGTTTAAGTGGACATTGAAGATCCCATGGCACTATTTGAATAAAAGGCGATTCTCCAAGTGTCCTAGTCAACCCAACAACAATCCCCCAAGTAGTTAATCATTCACTTCATGGCTGTTCGTGGGATGTTAACATGCGCAAATTTAATGTTGCGTTTGCTGACAAATGCTACACTTTACAGAAAAATCCTGTGAAGCTCTTTGAGACATCGCAACACTGTGTGATGGGGGAATACCAAACAGGGGTGGGTGACACTCAAATGTAAATTGCTCAGAGGCGGAGGGGAGTTAACTGGTAAGTTAAGGGAACTGGCTGATACTGCCCCGTTGATCACTTGCTCCCGGTCTCTGCGTGGTGTTTTGGCTGCCTCCACGACCCAAGCCGCTCCCCCCGCCAAATCTCTGGAACACTCTCCCTCCAACCCTCCTCCTTGCCCCCTCTCTCCCCTCTTTCAAGTCCCCCCTGAAAACTTTCCTTTTCGACTGGGCTTATGGCCACCTCCCCCCACCTCCCGCACTGGCTCGGAGTCAGGTTTCGCCACTGTTAAGCGCTCTGAGACACTAGCCTGCGTGAAGGGAGCTATATAAGTGCAAGTTGTTGCTGTAGAAGACCATCTCTCTGTCTTTTCAGTTGGAGACTGCATTGCTGAAAGAAACCATCACTGATGCCATTCCTGGTGAACTGCATTTGTTTCGGGTGAAAGCAAAAGAGGTTTTAGACCACGGGAAGTGGAGTGACTGGAGTCCAGAGGTGACTGGCACTCCGTGGGCAGGTGAGTACTGTCCACACTGAGGCGGGGACAGAGGGGACTGCAGGAGACTTTGGGTCACTGAAGCTAAAACCAGGTGCATTCTACTGCCTCGAGACACGCTTTGTTTGGTGAAGGAGGGGTGGGGGGGAATGCAGTTGAGAAAGGGATCAAACCGATCTGATTTGGGGTAATCCCTCCTGTCAGCATGTTTATAAATGGTTGTTCACGAGAAGTACAACTTGATCTCACCTTTCCAGAATGCTGCCTTCTATTATCTTATGAAGCTTTTTTTTTCTCCTTAATTTGATCCACTGTCCAGTCCACTCCTCTACCACCTCTCTATTAACCTGTTCCAGCTGCTGATAGTAACAAAACTAATCTTTACATGTGGGACAGTGCCTTTCATATCAGGAGGACATCTCAAAGGGCTTCATACTGTCAAGTGATTATAGATCTTGTGGACAAATGCACCAGAAAATTTCGCTCCCAGAAATATCCCACAAACATGAAATGAATTAATAATTTTATTGCGTGCATTTGTTGGCCAGGACACCTCGAGAAACTCCCTTCTCTTTTCATATTAACACCATGGGGATCTTTAATGTGCACCTTGATTTGACATCTCATCCAAAAGACAGCACCTCCAACAATGAGCCAAACCCCCTGCATTGTGTTGGAGTGGCACTATATGAGTTCCAACCCCAACCTGGGCTTGAATCCAAAACCTTCTGCTTCAGAGGAAAAAGTGACACCAACTGAACCAGGCTGATGTGCAATAACCTGTGTGTAAATAAAATGCTTGGTTGTGTCTGATCTGAACTTGCCCTTCACCTTAAAACAAAAGTTGGGGGCAGGGGGAAGAGAGACCAACTTCCCAATTAAGACTGAATTTTTCAATATCTAACACAATCTTCAATTTTAAGACCAGTGGTCTTGAGTCTAAGATGTGATGAATTTGGTCCTCCTGAATTAAACACTCCAATGTAGTTGGAAAAAAAAATTGTCATTCAATCCACTACTGTTTGTGGGACACCTCTGTGCACAATTGGCTGCTGCGTTTTGCCCACAAAATAGTCAATTCACTTTACAGTTTACTCTGTGACGCTCTTCGAGACGTCTCAAAGATGTGATAAGGCTCCTCATCAAATGCAAGGGTTATTACTGTTGACTTAGATTATGTAGGATACTGAGTAGCCACTTATACATTTCAGAAACCACCACAGAGAGCATCAAACCTACAACCGTGATATGGCTGATCGAGGATACAGAAACTGAAGGTCAACCTAGTGGTCCTGCCCTTTCTCCAACATCAGTGTTCACAAGTAAGCTCAGCCCAATGCTACTTCTGGTCTAATGTCCATAACAGATTTTTTTTTGTTTTTGATCAACCAAATGTCTGACATGTGTGGAAACTCATTGCCTGCTTATTCGTAACAAACCAGACTGAGAGTTTTATATGTGTATGACACCTACACGTGGCAATTCCCCCATGTCTGGAAATGGAATACGCAGTCTCTTCCTTGGAGGGACACACCCTATTTACCTAATTCTGCAGAGTATTAGGCACAGGGTGGCAAGAAACCAGGCTTGGGGACCCCAGAGTGTACATTGGGGTATCTGCTGATGTCAACTAGCTGAAATCACATAGCTTGCCATTGAGAGCACTGTCTGGCAAGCTTTCCCGCTGCTTGTCCAGCCAGGACCACCCTACTACTTGTTGGGGCTTTGGCTTGCAGGGACAGCAGGAGCTCATTGGAAAAAATCCCTACTCCCAAAGACTGGCATGTCCTTCCAAGTCCTGCCAATGAGCCAGGCTAGGGAATCAGGGGGAGAGTAGGAACCTGGTTCCAAGTTCCAATTTAAGAACTTTTCAGTCTTGCACAGTCTTATATTTGAAGATGAATGGTCTTGTATTTTTCTCTGTAAATTACACATATTTTATCTTTGAGCTTCGAAACTGTGAAAGGACTGACTGTTTTATTTGATACCAGGTCCCAACGTACTTGATAAGTATGTTTTTGCAGTGGTCTCGATTGCCATCAGCATTGGGATATCTGTAGTCATCACGATTCTCTTGCTGTGGTAGGTAAACACAAAACAGACTTGCATTAATGTCACATGTTTCAACTTTTGGGAGGATGTCCCAAAGCACGTAACAGAGGATGGGGAGGGGACGATGATGGAAAGCGCAGTCAAAGAGATAGGTCTTGAAACTGACCTTAAATCTGTTTGAATCATTTCTTAATTCCCTGTTTGTTTTTACATTGGGTGGTGATACCAATTATAATAATCCTTGCATTTGATGTAGCGCCTTATCTCATTGTTGAGATGTCTCGAAGCGCTTCACAAGACTTGAATTGCAAAGAAGAGTGACTGGGTCTTTGTAGACTCATGCGGCAGCCAATTTGCATGCAGCCATGTCCCCACAAACAGCCATGAAGTGAACGATCAATTGTTATCTGGGGGATTGTTGGCCAGGACAATGGGAGAAGCCCCCTTTTCTTTTTGAATAATACCACAGGATCTTTAACATCGACCTGACCAGGCAGATAGGACCTCGGTTTAATGTCTCATTTGAAGGATGGAACCTCCGACAATGCAACAGTGCATTGGAGTGTCAGCTTGCAGACAAAGTCCTGACATGGAGTTTGAACAGATAACTATTTGTCTCAGGGATGAGAGCCCTACAGACTGACTGAGCCAGGCTGACATAAGCTCCCAGGCTGACATAAGCTCCCAGACTGTCCCAATAACGTGATCATTTCAAAGCCAATAGGAGTCAATCCTGAATGTGTTGGCTCCTCGCCACCAGTGATGACAAGAGAGCAGTTAAAGGTGCTTTTGAGGATCCTCTTATGTCTGAGGATTTCCAGCTTCAGCAATATGTTATAGGTATTTTTTTTCTCTCCAGCTAGACAAAGCTCCCTGAGCAGTCAGTTGTCTGGATGCAGGCTGATGCTGATATAACTTGAAAAACCATGAATGTCCAAGCAGTGAGTCATGTGGGACTTCACCTCACAATCTACCCCAGTTCAGCGTTACACTTCTCTCAGCCATTTTCTTCTCCTGGATTCCTGTAGCTTCTAATTTCCTAAAGTCGTCTGTAAGGGATTGTCAAAAGCTTGCCTGCACTTTGACACTCTCTCACCTTTAAGCGTTGTATAAAATAATAATCCTTGCATTTGATACAGACTCATTGGTATAGGGAGGACTTTTACGTTCTTCACAGGATTTCATGTAAAGTGTAGTGACTGTATTTTGTAAGCAAACTTGGTAGCCAATGTCCTACACAAACAGCCATGACCAACTTTGAATTTTATTTAGTGTGGGGGAAGGAGGATGGAGTGAGATTGTTGGCCAGGACACCAAGTGCTGTTGGCTCTGTTCACTTTTTAAACACCATCATGGGATCTTTAACATCTGCTTGAACAAACAGACAAGACCTCAGTTTAATGCCTCATCCAAAGCATAGCACCTCTGACAATGCAACACTTCAGCACTGCTCTGGAGCATCAGGCTAGACTGTCAGTTCAAGCTTACAGGTGCTGCATTAAATTAAAGGATTATTATAAAAACTTATTGATAATTAATAATCCCTTCAAAAATATGGTTACTCAATCCACGATTGTTTGTAGGACACTGCTGTACACAATTGGCTGTTGCATTTCGCTCACAAAGTACAGTCAGTCCACTTTACAGTATATTCTGTGAAGTGCTTTGAGACGTCTCAATGACGTGTTAAAGCGCTGTATCAAATACAAGTATTATTATTAACTATAACCAAAGAGCAACTATAATCTACCTTAACTATAATGTTAGCAGCTTTTTTGTGGTCATGATTTTCTTCCGTCCAGCTGTATATTTTACTAATGTCTCTCTTGCTCTTTCTCTTTCTCTCTTTCTCTCTCTCTCTCTTTCTATCTCTCTCTCTATTACTCTGCTTCTTCTGCTTTTCCAGGATCAGGAGAATAAAAACGGAGCCAGACAAAAAAGACATTCTGACCAAGAAGCCATTGACCTTTTGTTAAGTTTGGTACGTAACCAGCTGGAAACAGCTGAGATTCTCCCCCAGAACAAAAATCCACCCAAAGAGGATAGATGAGGAGAATTTTTTTTTGTACAGTGAGTTGTTACGATCTGGAATGCACCGCCTGAAAGGGTGGAGGAAGCAGATTCAATACTAAATTTCAAAAGAAAATTGGATATATACTTGAAACTGAAAAATTGCAAGGCTTTGGGGAGAGCGCGGGGATTGGAACTAGTTGGTAGCTCTTTCAAAGAGCTGGCATCGGCATGAAGGGCCTAATGGCCTTCTTCTGTGCTATTGGATTTTATGAAATTTGTGAAGACGATGGCAATTTATTGACCTCAGAAAGCATTGCCTACTATGAAGTCAACTGAACCATCTTGGCTGTTGTTTTACTGGGTTTGGCAGAATAATAATAATAGTATAGTAATACATTCAAAATCCTCGTCCTCCCAATTAAATCCCTCCACATCAAAGGTCTCCAAATATTTCATCTCAAAATAGTTCAGCTCCAATGAGACCCCCACTTAACTTTGCTTCCCCACCCCCCCCCACCACAGTAGAATAGAGGATGTACTTATATTTAATGGTCTGAAATTGTACTGTTTTGTAATCATTTTGAGAGAGAGAGGTAATCACTGAATGTGCTTCCTCGTTACAGGCCAGTCTACCAGCTAATCCCAAGGCATCCAGGATTTAAAAGACTGAAAGGGATTAAACCTGGTGTGAGAACTGTCAGCAACCCTTGTCTCAACATTTCTGCTGAGGGAAAAGATGAGATTTTGATCATTATGGAGAGGCAGATGGTCTTGATTGAAATTGAATGACGGCGCCAAATATTTTCTTAATGGTTAATCTTCTCTTCAGAGTGTGTGTCAGGGAAACATCCTTTTCGCTTCACAATCGACCCTGCTGTGAAATCTGACCCGTTCCGTAAATGTGATTGGAAAGTGACCTGAACATCTTGTTGTGTTTTCCTCAAACGCCCCTCTTCCCACTTCACCACCTCCCCTCTCCACACTCAGATAAAGTTGACCCATCACTCTTTGGCATTCCTGTGAATCATATGACCTTTCATTTTTCCCCCAATTATTATCAGTTTCTGCTAGTCAAGAAAAAGCTCTGGGTGAAAGGAGCTCAGCAAAGCAGTTTTGATTGCAGCAAATCCTTTCCAAGTCCCACAAGCGTAAATATTTTGGTAATTTTTGTTTGGAAGGATCACACAAAGGGCAGCTAATGAGATGAGCCTGGCTTTGGCCAAGCTGCCAGTCTCACGGTGTAAATTGAGAGAAAGTGATGTTAAAGTAAACTTATGTACATGTGATAACTGATAGTGACTTTGAGCTTATAGAAGCGAACGTGGGAACTTGCCGCTGAAGCATAGAAGCGTAGAAATTTACAGCGTAGAGGGAGGCTTTTTGGCCCATCAAGTCTACACTGGAAGTTTGCTGAGGATCAAGATTTTCTATCAATCCCAATGCCCTGCCTTATCCGCTTACAGAGAGTAACAGATGTGCACGCACGTATTTGAGCATGTCTGAATTGTTTTAAGCAAATTCTGAAATATTTAACCACCCAAAAAGGTTTACACATGGATTTAAAAAAAAGAAAAATCTCTATTTTTTTGACGATCATATTTTTACATCCCTCTTGTTTTTTTTAAATAGCAATGGCTTCCAAGCCCTTTGCATTTTAAAATTGTGGCCCATCTGTGTGCAGATGTGCCTAAAGCCATTGAAACAAACTATTGTTCTGGGCTATTGTTGTAATTTGCGTAATCTGTCTATGAAGGAATACGATGGGTGGGGGAGAAAAAGGAAAAACGCCCCTTTAAATAGAGTGGGTGTGTCGTTCTTTTAAAAAAAAATGTACTGGAAAAAAATCTTAAAACGTTAGAGTATTAATACTGAAATAGTACGATGTCTTGTTGCATCGACTGTCTGCTTATAAGCGCTTTAAGAGTGTACCCATGTGAAGGGTACTATATAAAGGAAAATTATTCTTGTTTTTCAAGTGAAGTGAAGGGACAAATCATGTTTTTTTTGGGTGGGAGGGAGGGGAATATGGATTTTTTATTTTTTTTAACAAAAACATGGTTTGAATCTGCAATAAAGGGAAAGAGACATCTGTCCAATTTTCAGAGTCCTCTTTTGGGTTCAGTTGACAAGGGCCTGAGGGAAAGCTGTAAACTTGCCTTGGAGGCATTGGTTTCTTGCCAAATCGGTTGGGTGTGAAAAGTAATGTGAGATAGATTTTTCTATTGGAGAGTACAGAGGGAGAAAAGGGGAGGAGGATGGTGGAGAGGGGGAAGTGAGGGTTAGATGTGACATTTAACTGAGAAGCAAGACGCTGATTAGAATAGTACTTATCGAAGCACCTATGAGTATTTCACTGTGTAATGATGGAGGAGGAAGGAAGGACAACTAATGGCTAAGAAAATCTGAGGGGAAGGGAAACCATTTGTGGTTGGTTTAAAGAGAGAAGGTGAAGAGATTGAGGGGTTGAAAGGGAAGGAGGAGGAAAAGATTTTCCCTCCATTAAATTACTTCAATATTTATGGGAAGAATATAAAGGGGGTAGTGAAGTCAGATTGAGTCAGAATTCAAGAGGGAATGAACTAGAAAACTCAGTTGGATGGCCATGAGAGCTGGAATACTGTATGTTCTTATTATACTTTGGAACTGGCCAAATGGGCTGCAATGGTAGTTTCCAGTCCTGTAAATTCCTAAGATTCTACATAACCTCACCACACAAATAAATAAATTTTCTACTGTGTAAACCCCCTCTCTCTTTCTCATTCCTTCCTCCCATACAGAAAGAGAGAGAGAGAGAGAGAATATTGCTTTGCTCGCTTCACAAGTGAAGACTTGCTGCACCTGAGCAAATGGGTCACTGCAATTGGAGTACCGAGTATTGTACTCCTGTCTACGAAAACTGGCGCTGGATTTACAGTGTAAATGTACATTGCAACAATGCTCAAAAATAACTGAATAGTTTCTTTATTTACGTTTTCTTAACCAAAGTTTAGAAAAAAATACAGGGGTATTTGCTCACTCTTGTACATCTATGAATGATGGCCTTAACCTCTCTGAGACGTCTTCTGGCATGAAGGGCATTATATAAATGCAAGTTGTTGTTGTTAAATCCTGTCACAGTCCTCCAATAGACCAGAGGCCTCTGCGACAGGATAGGGTGGGAGGCCACTGTTATGCAACTGAGCATGACAACCTTTGAAGTCCGCCTGCACCAGTCACGGGATGGGAGGTCTGCGATGCAAGACGCCATGTTGTAGGGTGAGTAAGTAACTTGCAAGGATTTCCGGAATGTGACCAGTTACGTGTTAAGCAGAGTTATAGTAAAGCGGTGTCGCTCGTTAATATTTTGGATAGGAAGTGGCCTGGATATTGACGACATGACCACTTAAGTGGCAGTGACAAGTTTAGCCAGGGTCAAGTTAACAGGAGTCTTTTGTATATAAATGCTGAAGACATCTTGAATGTAGTTGTAGCCCTCATTGTTTATTCATACTACTCCTGAATGGAATAAGTTACAGATGTAACTGTCAGGGATGGTACAGTGAATTGATTTAGCAAACACATTCCAAAACAATGGATTTTTAATGAGCAAAGGATCAGGATTGGCTGTAAAAAAAAAAAAATTCTCCCCCACACCCACACCAACTCCCCAATTCTTTCCATTGCCATCGGCTAGTTTGCTGTCTTGGTTCACATGTTTATCATGCCTTTTAGGCAAGTCCGTGGAATCTGTGTCCCAATGCAGAGTCCCGTCTTTCAGAGGGTAAGAGGGAGAAAGTTACAAAATACAGTTTAGATTTATATGGTGTCTTTCACATTAGGAAGTCGTCTCAAATCGCTGTACATGGCTGACTTGGCAGCACCCGAGCCAGAGTATGTGGGGGAAGGTTTGAAGGAGGGCATTCGAAAATGATTGAAAGCGCAGTTCAGAGAGATGAGCTTCAAACCTGAAGGCGGGCTCTAAAAGTGGAGAGGGAGGTTGTGAGTTGGAGGGATGGGGTTCCAGAGGGTGGGGAACAGAATGGACGAACGTTTGCCCACCAGTGGTGTAGCACATCAGGTGAGAGTGACACAAAGCAAGTTGGTGTTTGGTCATGGAGGTAGGGTGAGGAGGGCGAAGAAGATCTCGGTAGCGCGATTTTCTTAAGTCATTTTGAATGCAGCCCTTTTTTGTGTGTGGGTTGGAACCCTTCCCAGCTGCCCTGGCGAAGAGGCTGTTGTTTACTTCAATCTGACGTTTTTGTGGCGAGAGCTGCATTGCTGCGTGACATAAGAGGGTGGGATCATATTTCTGTTGGTTTTTTTTTCTCCGAACCTTGAATAAATATACTCAAAGCCTGCAAAATATACAGTCACTGTGCTGTTAAATCCCGTGAAGCGCTTTGAGATATCCGTCCAAAGCAAAAGGCTGCCTCAACAACAACAACAACAAATTGCATTTATATAGTGCCTTTCAAATCGGAAGGATGTCCCAAGGTGCTGACCTACCTTTTTGATTGCATGTATTGTTACTTACCTCTGCTCCTTTGCTCTGCATGAACCCCATCTTTGTACAGGTCTCTTGCTAGTAGCTTTGAGACGTCGCAAATATGTGATAGGCACTATATCAAATGCAAGTATTATTATAACAGTGCAAACATCAGAACTTTCAACCCCACTACCATGTACAATTCTGGACTGAATGACTGTCCAGACATACTTGTTCAATTGTGTTTTAGTGATGACCCATTTGGGGTGACTAAGGAGAAGTGAAGAGTTTAGTTATTTTATGAATTGAATTGTGTGTGCCTTGAAGTATGGATTTAGAGGGAAATTTTAACCCCCAGTTTATTTTTTTGTCATAAAATCCTTGCATCTATCGTGTTGAAATGTCTCAAAGTGCTTCGGGGATAATTCCTGTTGAACACATTGACTACATTACAGGTGAATGTAGCAGCCAGTTTGCACATAGCAATGCCCCGTGATCAGCCA